CTTAAAACAGTATCATAATATCTTCTGTTGTGAATACAGGGACTGCAGGTGAAGCGCAGTGTGGCTTTAGCTCAAATCAACGATCTGATGTGTGTAGACCCTTCAGTGTGATTAAAACAACACCGTGCTTGTTCATGATTCGTCTTTATTTAACACACACTCTGCATGTTTCATTTCAGGAGGGCGTGAAGACAGAAAATGACCACATCAACTTGAAAGTGGCCGGTCAGGATGGATCTGTGGTCCAGTTTAAAATTAAGAGGCATACCCCCCTCAGCAAACTGATGAAGGCCTACTGCGAAAGACAGGTGAGACTGCCGCTTGAGCTCCTGTGATCCTGAGATCTGCACACATCATGAAGCTTTGTACATTTGATGTTACATTCATATGCAGATCTAACTTGAATTTTTTAAATTTTTTTTAGGGTTTATCTATAAGGCAAATTAGGTTCAGGTTTGATGGTCAGCCAATCAATGAGTCAGACACACCTGCACAGGTTTGTACTCTTATTTTTGAATTTGGTACAGATGTGAGCAGCTCCTTATGGAAGTGTTAAAGGGATAGTTCACCCAAAAATGAAAATTTGATGTTTATCTGCTTACCCCCAGGGCATCCAAGATGTAGGTGACTTTGTTTCTTCAGTAGAACACAAACGAAGATTTTTAACTCAAACCGTTGCAGTCTGTCAGTCATATAATGGCAGTCAATGGGCTCCACGGCTTTGAGAGTAAACAAAAACAAAAAACGCAGACAAAACCAAATTAAATCCTGCGGCTCGTGTTGATACATTGAGGTCTTAAGACACGAACCGATCGGTCTGTGCAAGAAACTGAACGGTATTTATATCATTTTTTACCTCTGATCCACCGCAGTGTCCAACTGTCCTGAGCGCATTCACAACATCCAATGAGTGACGTGTATATATGCGACAGATCGCTTCCGCTCATGCGTCTACTATGCCTACACGTTCCAGATATTGTGAACGCGCTCAGGACAGTTGGACATTGCGGTGGATCAGAGGTACCTATACTGTATATAGAATACAGTACCAGTCAAAAGTTTGGACACACGAATGGGAAGTGTGTCCAAACTTTTGACTATACTGTACTACAATATAGCCTACACAAAGAATATCGGCCGGTATATCAATATCTGTCTTTTTTTACTCCCCTGTATTGGCATCAGCCCCCAAAAAACCCATATCGGTCAGGCTCTAATATTTAATCAGCTCCAGATCTCTTTAATGATGCAGTCTCTGTCAAAAAAAATGAAGCTATCCATATGAACAAATTCAAGGAAATTGCATTTATCTTAGTGTATTTGCAAACCTGGAGCTTGGCACACACAAATTGTTATAAGGCCTCAGATGGAAAAAGTTTCTCAATTAATCTTTTCGTGTGAATTTTCAGCTGGAAATGGAAGATGAAGACACTATCGACGTATTCCAGCAGCAGACGGGAGGAGCCTGCTAAATATGAGGCACATGTGAATGAAGCTGGTTTATTTGTGCTCATCTTCACTTCCGCTGCAGTTCAGGGCTGAAATTGAAAAGGTTTTGGAAATCTAATCTGTTTGTTAATTATATTTTATTTTTGGTTCCATTTTTAATCATCCAAAGACCTCATTTCCATTTTTGCAATGTTCTCCCTGAACTAAACTGGAAATGACAGTTAGTAATGTTGACACCCCCCTCCCCCCTTTGGAGTTTATTGTATGCCTGTTGTATTATGTATGTTTGTACCTCCCCCATTTATTTTTATATACAAGGAGGAAAAGGATGTTTGTGGTTTTTTTTTGTATGGTCTCAGATTTTCTTTAATGGCAGTAAACGAAACTTCAAGACTCCTTTTTTATGAACCGTTTCAAATGTTGACATTGCAGCATTGTATTTTTCTGACACCTCAAGGTTTGATAAAGCTAGATTGTTTGTTGAATACAGTTAGCCATTTTTAATTTTAAAAGCTTTGATGCACATGTCTTTAAAAGTTTGCTGTTTGCTTAAGTATGAATTTCATGAGATACAAATTAAGTGTTCACTTTGATTTTATCATCTCATAGTTTGCCCTTTCTACAAATGTGATTATTGTAACGTCACTCTCATTTAGCCTTTCTGGCATATCAAGAGTATTAAACACTCCTGGTGTAACTGCAAATCCACATTGAACTCCTGCCAAATCAACATGTGTGAGTGTTGTAGTGAGAATGGCAGTGAGTGTTTGGGAGAGCAGAAGATCCTGTGTTGGCCATTTACTACTGTATATAATAAATATAGTTTAATACTGATTTGTATTTGTCTGGTTCTGTAGGCTGTATAAAGGTCAGTTAAAGATTGAAATGGGTTGCCACTAGATGGAGTAACTGTGTTTATGGTGTTTTTTTGTTTTGTTTTTTCTTTCCAAGAGATTCCATGCAGTTATAGAATATTTTCAACTGTAAATAATCCTAAAATTGTTGGTGCTGCATTTAATGGATCAGTATTGATCTGAGTCTCTATTGTTTGAATGAATTAAGCACACTGATATTTGGTTTGATTTTTAAAAAATTCTTAACCACCATAACACATTAAAACCGTTTTTAGCACTTTAGTTGTCTATTTACGTCTGTCTAATGTTGGTTCATGCTTGAGAAAACTGCTCTGAGAAACTGCATTGAAAAGTTGATAGCGATTTTACTGTGATGACAATTTTTGACATAGCACAGAATAGATAAATCTAGTGAAAGAGATCTTTATTTTTTTAAGTCTGCCCCATAATCATTATAAAACCAGTGTGATAGAAGTATATCGGTTGAGTCACAGATTGTCATTTTCATGCCTCAGGGTAATAAGTGTTTACATTTCATATATCAGATATGAATTTGTTTAAGCACTGATACCTGACTG